AGTAGCTCAGTGAATAACCCGTTAGCATTTGGAATGAAAGATATTACATTCAGGTCTCAACGTGAGTATCAACACTGATATGAAGGTATATCCGGCTAATGGGTTTGAAACAAGACGGAACTCACTTTCTGGTTTCCACTACTAGCCACTGTCCATCTATTATATGGAGCTCTAAAGTTATTTTCTATCACATTAACATCACTAGTTGACTGAATTTGAAAAATATAAATCTTCAGATTCTGTTTCACTAATGATCAGCGACATATCTACCACAAGATTTTCATGTCTTCATTTCAATTCACTGTGGGATCAATAATCGTTATTGTAATCCATTTATCTAGTACAGGTTTTGGACGCTACATTCTGAGTCATAATTTTTTCCTCACTCTCTCTACGTATGAGGTATAATGACATAACTCGATCGCTCAAACCAACGTAGAAGGCTAGGGTTCGAATTCTAAGAAGTTAGATCACCAAGCCAACCACTGTTGTATTAAGAAAACTCGGAAAGAAATGAAAGAGCTTTCCGGTATTCTCTAATGTTCGTAGGTTCTTTAGACGAGGCCAGTTACTTCATTGTGAAAACTATCTATTATGTCAAAGTAAAGATGATATTTTTATTTATTTATGATCAAGTAATATCTAAAATGTAGTTCAGTCATTGGTATAATTTGTTACAATACATTACTTACAGTCAAAGTAAAACTAAAATTGGTATGTAATTCCTTGGTATAAATTTGTAGTCATTAACTTTCCTTTATAGAAACTTCAAAATTTAGCAAACACTGGTGGCTTAGGATTTAACTACCTGGATTTTATTAAACAAATCACTTTTTCTCTATTCGTTTCAGAGGGTATTCAAAAAATTCTAGCTTCCTAGGAGGAATGTAACTTGAACTTTCCTGTCATTCAATAAATTTATATAATTTCATATTTATTCTAGTATTTCTCATATTTCATCAGTTACAATAATGAGTCATGAATATCACTAAACGCCCAACCATTTTAGTAATTTTTTAAATTAATTTTTTCGATAAGGTAATGAGAAGACGAAGTTTTTTAGAATTATGTGATAGATTTGCGCAATACATTTCGAACAATCTGATCACACATATACATGTTAAGAACATTTATTTAAATAAAAGGTCAACTAGACAGGTTAAAGGTATGTCATAACAAAGAAAAAGATACACAAGTACAATGTGATTACCACTCTGGATAACAAATCAGTATTACCAGGGTAGGTTAAGTGTAAGGACAAATTATTTTTGAACACATAAAGGGGGTTTCAATTTCCGTATAGCCAAGGCTTCAATAAACCTTAGTATACGTCCTTGAAGGCTTTTGTATAACACTACAAAAGCTAACTTGACGTCAACCTTATGACTAGTCAAATGTTTCACAGTGGAGGATGATGTCTGTCTATTCTGTGATCTTATTTGACCATTGGTATCCATTTGTTTCTGCAGCCATTTTGGTATGTGTTCACCCACCCTTAGTTGCAAATCACGACTGCTTCCCCCTATGTACGTGTTTCCACAAATACATGTAAATTGATAGACACAATCGCTTTCGTGCTGTTTGGGCTTTTGGGGAAGCATAGACCTTGTCTTCTCGATAGTGACAAGTTGGGCTGCATAAAATGTCCGATTGATAGCTAATTTAAGTCTCCGTTTCAACATGAGACTATTTGTGTCACCTCTGAATGGTAACGTAATATAAAATCGCTTTTTGGGTGCCAGAAGCATCATAGGTCTAGTCGTATTGCAACCGTTCCAGCGGTTTATGAACTTCAAAGAATAACCATTATTGATTAACGCATCAGTCAAGAGCTTCATCTCTACTTCAATAGTATCACTAGTACAAATACGATTGATTCTATTGAATAAGCCCTTTATTAAACCGCGTTTGTAATGAATAGGGCAGTGACTATGGAAATTAAGATATTGTCCTGTCCATGTTGGTTTTCTATATATAGAACGTTGGATGGAACCATTATCTCTCCTACTAATCAGAATGTCTAGAAAAGGAAGTTAGTTGTTCTTCTCTTCTTCACATATAAGAGAAATGTGCTTTTGACTACTATTGAATTCTTCTAACAAGCGGTTTATGTCTTCACTTTTATCCCCTATGATTATTATGTCATCTACATATCGTTTATACAGACCCATCTTTCGAATTGAGTCTTCAACTAAATTTTCAACATATCCCATGAACACATCAGCCAGCAATGGTCCTAGAGGGCTACTCATAGCTACACCATCTATTTGTCTGAAGTGTTCACCTTCAAATGTGAAATTTACATTATCTGTACACAATAATAATAAATCTTTAAGAGTTTTAACAGGAAATGGCAGTGAAAGGTAATTCGAAGAAATATAGTCACACAAAATATCAATGGTTTTCCTAAGAGGTACATTTGTAACTAAAGTGTTAACATTAAAGGAGCACATTGTCTTCGTCTTTATATTTATATCCTTTAGGTAATTAATTAATTCAAATGAGTCAGTCAATGAATGCTTACATTATTGACTTCTGATAGGATTAATTAATTTTTGTAATCGGACTTATTCATAATAACAACACCAGATCCTTTATCGGGTTTAAGCATAATTTCGCAATTCTTTTAATGGTTTGAAGTGCTGAGAAGTTAATATGCTTCTCTGCTTTGGTCCAGAAGAATGAAAATAATGCGCTTTATCCACTAGTTTGGCTTTAAACCAACTTTGATTCTCTAAGGACGAAGGGGTTACAGTACAAAATAAAGTGGAATTCATTCTCGGTGATAAAAGCAAATTGTTGGCGGATGTTGACTTCGATGGATTACGTAAACTAGAGAAGAAAGTAAACTCGAATCTTGTGAAATTGTTAAACATGAATGCTATTAACAAAGATGAGTTTAATTTATTAAAACCTATGGGTTCGGCATATCCTAATTCATATGGATTACCGAAAATTCATAAGCCTAATACCCCTCTACGTCCAATTCTATTGATGTGTCGGTCGCCTACACACAACCTTGCAAAATGGCTTACAAAATTATTAAACCCTATCAGAATTCAATAATGTAAGCATTCATTGACTGACTCATTTGAATTAATTAATTACCTAAAGGATATAAATATAAAGACGAAGACAATGTGCTCCTTTAATGTTAACACTTTAGTTACAAATGTACCTCTTAGGAAAACCATTGATATTTTGTGTGACTATATTTCTTCGAATTACCTTTCACTGCCATTTCCTGTTAAAACTCTTAAAGATTTATTATTATTGTGTACAGATAATGTAAATTTCACATTTGAAGGTGAACACTTCAGACAAATAGATGGTGTAGCTATGAGTAGCCCTCTAGGACCATTGCTGGCTGATGTGTTCATGGGATATGTTGAAAATTTAGTTGAAGACTCAATTCGAAAGATGGGTCTGTATAAACGATATGTAGATGACATAATAATCATAGGGGATAAAAGTGAAGACATAAACCGCTTGTTAGAAGAATTCAATAGTAGTCAAAAGCACATTTCTCTTATATGTGAAGAAGAGAAGAACAACTAACTTCCTTTTCTAGACATTCTGATTAGTAGGAGAGATAATGGTTCCATCCAACGTTCTATATATAGAAAACCAACATGGACAGGACAATATCTTAATTTCCATAGTCACTGCCCTATTCATTACAAACGCGGTTTAATAAAGGGCTTATTCAATAGAATCAATCGTATTTGTACTAGTGATACTATTGAAGTAGAGATGAAGCTCTTGACTGATGCGTTAATCAATAATGGTTATTCTTTGAAGTTCATAAACCGCTGGAACGGTTGCAATACGACTAGACCTATGATGCTTCTGGCACCCAAAAAGCGATTTTATATTACGTTACCATTCAGAGGTGACACAAATAGTCTCATGTTGAAACGGAGACTTAAATTAGCTATCAATCGGACATTTTATGCAGCCCAACTTGTCACTATCGAGAAGACAAGGTCTATGCTTCCCCAAAAGCCCAAACAGCACGAAAGCGATTGTGTCTATCAATTTACATGTATGAGACGTTATCAAATATCTCTCAGAAGGGAAGCGAGTGGTGGACACGCTGTAACTTTTTTTCACTTCCTTCATATAAGTGTGAGCAACTTCTTTGATGAAAGAATTTTCGCTGGTTGCAATTTTCTTATCTGTGTTGCTTCTCTGACTATTATTAATATTATGCGCTCTCATGCACTTATTTCTATTCATTTTTTGTTGTATGGACCTTCCTTTATCTCTTCACAATCTGTTTTTTTATTATGTGATGCATATATTATGGTCTTTCTTGTACCAATGTTTACGCGTTTTAGTAATGGTAACAACGTTTGGTGCTACTCAACTGAGAACCAAACTAGTTATCATGTAAATAGTATTTCTATCAGTCAGTACTAAGTAATCTATCGTTATTTATCCATTGAATTTACAATAGTCCTACTTGGAAAAGTTATTTTTTTGTCACTGGTCTTTACACCAAAATCCAACTTTCTTTTCAGTCTAATTTTTGGACATTCTAGAAATGATCATAAAACATCAGTGGTAAGTAATATAAACTGTTAAGGTGTTTGTTGACCACAGTAAAGGGAACCGATTATTTAATAATTGTTCGACGCGTCTAAATTATCCCAGAAATTCCACTTATGATCATTTCTAATAAATAATGCTAACGATTTTTAGCTACTTGTGCTTCCCTGTAGCATATATAGTACAATATTCATGCTTACAAAATAGATAGTGTATCTGATAACTTACTGATTACTGATTAAATGTAGCGAAAGGTCTATCTGATAACAATTTTACATTTTGTTATTGTGAATCAATTCAGCTATATCCATTTATACCTGGGGAATATAGTTGTATCTATCCTTCCACCGTGTGATCGTGTAATAGCAACTAGATGTTTAATATGTGCTTTTTTCATAGGTTTCATTGTCTAATGTCTTACAGGTGAATTTAAATGTCTTTTTCTTCAGGTGGAAACAGAACAAATAGTACATGATAGCTCATATTCATTTCTTCGTCATGGACGCGTTTCATCATATGTACAAATGCGTGGTTCTGTACCGTTATTCTGGTCACAAGAGTCTTCTAAAGTTGTTGTTGGCAGACCGCCTTTAGAAATTTTAGTAAGTTTATGACATTTTTAAACAGTGACACATCAACATGTTCTAACGTTATTACCTTTTATTGCTCATTTTGCGATGTCTGTATCCTTGACTTTTACATTGTGTGACTCTATCCCCTCAAGAGTGCTGACATGTTTTGCTGACGACTCCTAACTAGAGCAGAACCTTCTGATGAGTACTTCCAGTTATCCTCCATCAGGACGTGATCATAGTAATATCGAGTCACTTAAATTATTGACTACGTTGCTTCAATAGAGTTTAGTTAGTACATCATTTTTCGATATTTTCCAAGAGAGCACGTATAGGTCCCAAGAATATGTTTCTATCTCATTTTTTTTTACGTTAGGGCATAGTGATTCCTCATATCCCCCCCTTAGAAGCTATGCAATTGCAACCATTGTTACACTTAACGAAAGTAACTTAAACCTTGGGAGATTTAACAAAGCATTCAAAATAGAAAAGAATTCAAAGAGTAGTACACAAAAGAGATCCTAAATAATCATAAGAGGAAATTTGGATAAAATTAAAAGAAGGACTAATAACTGAAATAGGACCAGAAAATGATTTTATAAGTGATGTTAAAACACCAGGATTTGTTACAGCATACAATTAATGGAAATGGTGGAACATTAACTACTCTATATTAGTAAGTAGTATATCGTGGCACACAAAAGGGCCTTCAGATAAATGAAACTGAACAAGTTTATCATAGCGTATATTTCAGTTTCATATTCAATGACTTAGAAAGGTAACTATATATTTTCCAAATCTTTTTGTCGAAATTCCACTGTCTTAAAAAACTATGGACAGTACTGTATAGGAGAATATAGTTTGTATTATTTTAAATCACAGAATAGTTAATGATTAATTGTACTTTAGTTGGTGCATTTTTATTGGGATTTTGATTTGTTAATGACTGTAATTAATTTTCCGTATCTTCAGCGTGATGATCCATTCTATGAATCGATGGGTTTGCATTTTTCTAGTCTACTTAAACGTCATGGATCTCCAGTTATTGTGCTTAATTTGATGAAAAACGAGAGAAAAGACAATTTGAAACAATTTTATCTGATAGATTTGAACGTGGAATTACCTATTTAAGTCAAGTAAGCCAATAATGTTATGTATTTATTGTAATTGAAATAAATTTTAGCAAATGGTGTAGTCTAATTTAGAGAAAGACATCTTAGAATTTTTCATTAATAGTTAAGACCCAATACCGTTTTTGTATGTACGTCATCTAGCGATTGTGAATGAAAGTGATTCACAAGGTAAACGTTATTTTTTGTTGATCATAATGTTTTTAACACATAACATTGTCAAACTCATTAATACATGCCTTATTTCCGGCCTTTGTAAAATATTATAATTATGGACTTATAACTGTAGAGCCTGATGATGAAGTTATTGAAAACAATTGTTCGCTCAAATATATTTTTCATTTTTGAATATTCTATGGGGAGTTTTAAACTGCTGATCATACTGTTATCAAATCATTAAGTAGTTAAATGTTCATATGAACTATTTATGTAACTAGGATTGACAGAAATCGATGATAGAAGAGATATTAAATGACACCAATAGTACATTTATTGTAAATCAAAGATACTAACATTATATTCCTGTTCACTATCAAAAATGTAGAACAATGAAAACTAATGTACTACTATTAGTATCGACCTGTCGGCTTATCTCATTAGATTTATCGTCTGTATCTTTATTCATTGTGATAGGTTAAGACTGATTTAGAAATCATCCTTTTAAGTTATTGGTTGAATTATTTTGACTGCTTACTCTGATGGAACACTACAGTGGCCATTAAATATATACACTATTTGATTACTACACCATTTCTACTTCTTCTGTGTCTTGTATTATAATCAAAGAGGCATTGAACAACATACTTCAGAGTTTACGGTGCAAATTTCTATTTACTTGAGTTTACCGTCTTTTTTGTAAAAAAATCAAACATTTCAGTCTCGGTTATCAGAATATTTCTTTGTTTTTGTTTTTGACTCATTGTTAGTCTCAAAATATGAACTTATTATAATTATAATTCTCCTGAATATTCTTCTGTTAGTTTTTACCTTCTAGAATTCTCCAACCATCTGATTCATTAAGTACACTTTTTATCGAAACAATTGATAGTAGTCCACCTATTATGTACATTGGATTTGATATCGCTCGTGTGCAAAAAATGAAACGTACTGTTGTTTTAAATAAATTACAACCTATTATAGACAATTGTGTACGTCGTACTGGAATATATTTCTCATCATCTGCTTCTTTACCTATCTCAGAAATTCAATTTGAAAAACATAGAACAATTGGTTTCAAGTAAGTTATTTGTTTAAAAAAAAGAATGGATAGAACAATGAAATATTTCTATCCAATTAGTTTTTCTTTTTGACTCTACAATGATATGTGTGTTTAACAGCTTTGATAAAATCAATGTTAATTAATTAGAAATGTATCAAGTAGTAGTAATACAATAATATTGGTAATACTGTATTGTACGAGAACACCAGTGGAGACAACCAAATGTACCTGAATATTAAATTACAAAATCTCTTAGTAACATCTGAGAACCGTACAGTAATACTTCATTTGAGAAGTGTCCATCAATCGTCTCAGACTGTGTTGTTCCTTCGTTTTCATACCAATCTATCTCTGTTCCCATTCTTTTCTTTTCGATTTTCTCAACCTTCAGCCTCCAGGTATTCCACTTTCTATTGGTGATACATACTACTTACATCTGTCGATATCAGTAGCACACATCACAATACTCTTATCTAATACAGTAGTATTTCATTGGTCTCGATTTTATTATTATTATTATTATTACTATTATTATTATTATTGTTATTATTATTATTATTAAACACATGTATTAGTGGAGAGCCAATATGACAAACTCGTTGTAAAGAAATATTCGAGTTCTATTCATTTTTTCTGTGTCTAAATGGATTTTTTTTCTTCAAGAGAGTTAATAAAATTCTGCTTCATCAAAATTTATATGATTTACCATGCAGCGAATTTTATTTCACATGGGACAATCAGTCTTATGTGCCAATTTTTCTTGTTGTTCAAAGGAATTATTGCAACTTCACATTAAAGAATATAAAAGAGAATACGACAATCAATACAACTAAGTAATCATATACTTGTTTATAAACTAAATTGCAGACTGCCTAAGCTTTATAAAGGGAACTAAATCGAATAAGAATGAGGTTTCTATCATATTAGTTTTCCCAATGTTTACAACTCATAACTCTGACATGCTATTTAGTACTCCGATGTTCTAATTGGTGTCCTCTTTTCATAACTCTAGTCTAAACTCAAGTACCACATATTACAGTCAGCTATAAATGACACAAAAAATGTGTTCTATATACTAGTCTGTTTTGGGACATCGGCCCAAATTCTAATTATAATTTTATATACGCGTAACTGGTATTAATTTCTATAGTATAACAAACTTATCCCAAACCGTTTGATGTAGGTGAATTAATAGCACTTCAGTTTGTCAGTCAAATGAAAATTAGAACCTGAAACATATGTACATCGGTCGACGTTGACATGTGCTATTAGCATAGAGATGAAATAGTCAGGGCAAATATCAAGGTAGTAGAAGTAATAACGTGACTAGTGATAATAGAAACGATTAAACATGGAGGACACGACCCTATAAAATGTGTAATTTAATGAAACCAAAACAAACAAAATTATGAAAAGTTTAGAAACTTACGTTTTAAAAAGATACAAATAGTGAGTGTATCTGCTCCGTTGTCAGCGGTTCCTAGCCATACCACCCAGTCTCTAACAACTGGTTACGATATTCACGCAGACCCGAACCAAATAGTCTGCACCTAACTACATGACCTAGTTCAATAGTCAGTGTCTTAATAGACTGATGCTTTGGTTTGGCCACTGGTAGCTTTCTTTTGACCTGCTCTTATACCGGCCATCATTGCACGTCAAAGTAGTTGGTGAATGAGAACACGTAATACATATTCTAACCATTCCAGATAGTAACGGTTCACAACCTTGTCAGTCGATTTGCTATACCTGTACTCTGCGTTTAGCCTCAAAATCTCTAACTTGATGGTCCTGAAATATATGAGCAATAGTTCGAAGCAACGTATGATAAAAACATGATATGATAAAAAAACATGATTTTCTGGGGTTCTCTTTAAAACTAAGTGCATTAGTTATGAAAATTTCATCACCATGTCAAAGAAGTATGATAATAATTGAGCAGTCTTTTAAGGCCTTTCGTGTGACCTCATTTTGAACCTTGCAGTTATTTATTGTTAATGTTATTTAACAAGTTGGTTGTCAGTTAACTACCAGCTACCACAACCTGATCCCATTTTAGATTCACTAATATTATTGGCTGAGTACTGTTACTACTACTGATGCACTTCATCAGGTTTCATGTTTCTCAACTAATAATCTTATGTTTTGCTATTTTCTTCCAGCTCTAAGCAATGTGGAATAATCCGAGTAAATTGTGTGGACTGTTTGGATCGAACTAACACTGCACAGTTTGTTATCGGTCGAGTTGTTTTAGCTTATCAGTTGTATGGATTAGGCTTTTTAGCTGAGCCAGATTTTATGGATAACTCACAAATCGATCGATTACTACAGGTAACTTGCTATTTATTACTTCTCTTTTGTAAATAATAGTTAATTTCTGTAAATTCTTTCTATTGGTATCAATGAAATTGCTTATCCGTTTTGCTAAATCCTTCGCTGATAGTGCCGCTCATTTCATAAACTTAAGCATTTCAAGATTTCCATTTGTAATTATCATTGAACAGTGGAACCTTGTTGGAAAATATATTGACCCTGGTGTATAATAGGTATTTTTTAGGCGTCAGTCTACTACAAATATGTCTCATCGTTTCCCATATGTTTACTGGTCGGGATTCATTGATCTTGATACTGTTTTTAGAGGGAGAAAGTACGTTCACAATTCTGTTATTACTCTCTTACCCTGATGTATTTTATGAAAAAATTAACTGAGTAGATTCATCACTTTAACTAAGTTTCTAACAGTTTGATAACTTAAAACTACCACTAGTTCTTGAGTATTGCAATAAGTAACTCAGAGGTTGGGACCATATTGATTATATATATCATAATACTGACAATTTTGAGTGCCTAAATCTCTTTGTGTAACTCAGGAAACTAATACTACCCTTCCAAAAGACGTTTTCTGAAATTCACCTTTGGCACCGAAGAATGCTAAAGTTTCAAACTAGTACGAAACAGTTGGTCCATTTCCTCGTGGTTTCCCATTGTTCTACAGCTGAATTCAGTCTACCATGAAAGCTGTTTTAAAGCGAACTTATCTTCATATATCATTCAACTAGATTAAGTAATTCAAATATTTCGAAACTGTAGTTTATACTTTTGTTAAATATTGTATTGCAACAATAAAATGGTAAAAGCCTAATTCTTTTCAAGCATCGATATAGTTTTCTATAACCATGAGATCTCATGGTGTAAAAATAGTCTTTTATTTTAGTTTTTAACTTACTCGAATAAAAGGTAATGTGCTTCCTATTCGTAGTTTTTACTTCGAACAATATCAAACGATAGAAATGATGTGTAATAAGGATTTCATAACTATCCATTACACTCTATCATGTCTATGAATTTCTTCTAGAATATTTATTTTGAATAGTATTCTCAGTTAAGTATAAAAGCAACGGTCAGATCTACTAACCAACTGAATAATCTTGATCTTATTTGTAAACTTAAATGTATGCTGGTGTTTGAGATTTAACAAAGGTTCTTAATTATCCGGTCGTGATTTAGTAGCACCCGATAATTTTTGTTTGTTTTGTGGTTAAAGGAAAAAAAAAGTGTCACGTACGTCACAACACCATTGTCAGCCAACATCATCCTTAAAATCGATATTGGTCATTTATATACTGTTACGATGAAAAAATAAGCACTTTTATCAATCTTAAACTGCAAACTAGTTTTTAGATAATCAGGTTGTTAAGACTAAAATCTAGAATAGCCCTTAATTTTGTAATACTCTGTCGTTCAAATATCCAACAAGAGATCAATTAACCGGATAAAGACGCAAACAGAGTGTATTATATCAGACACACAGGGATAGAGAAATGTACATTACATCATACATAAATTTCCGTCTGCGTTCATTAACCTATCTCGACTCATTTTCTCTGGATACGCCAAATTTATTCACCTTTAATCCTGATGTAGATGATGATGAACAATAATTAAGTACTATAGTTTTGCTCTCTTGATTTGTCTTCCCTGATTATTTTCTGCTACTTTTGAACCATTAACTCAAATGATTCGAATTTTGCATTGATTTGATTAATCAGTTTGAGTTGGCAAAATTAAATGGTTTATGTTAATCGTGGTGATGGATTTCTGTCATTTAATTTAACTTCTTTCGGCACATATATGAGTTGTTGTCACTTGTTGGGCCATAGAGTTTCACTCGTCAAAAACTCAGTATGAAAGGCGGATAACAAGTAGTTAGTTCTGAGTCTTCTTTTGTGTCTGTAAATTTACGGCTTATAAAACCTTGGAAAATGAATGATGTCAGATGTAGAATATTATTAAGTAATCTGATAACCTTAATCAAACTATCTCAAATTCTTCTGTTTGTTAAAATGAACAGATTGTATTCAAGTATCGTAGCATCATATAAATGTTCTAAGATTTCTGGAATCCTTTTTTTGTGATTCCTTGAACGTTTTCCACCAGCTTACAATCTTTCTTCAAACAAAAGCTAGCTGCTAGTATACTTCAGTACAGTTCAGATTTTAGCAAATAGTCATGCTAATCTTTTCTTACCCCATGCACACACACATGCTGATCATTTGTACAAATTATTATTTGAATTTTAAAAAAAATAATTAATAGGATTTATATGATGAACATGGAGATACACTGGCCTTACAATATGGCGGTAGTCAATTAGTGCACAATATAAATACTTATCGTAAAGTAAAAAAGCTCTCTAGTCACTCGCGTGATTTTGTTCAAACACTGTCACGGTAAGTTTATAGATAAATTACATTTTCTTTATGCAATGCCATCTGTACTTTATTCACAACTATTTTACATTCCTGTTGTAATGTGGGTAGTTAATACATTTATTTGGAGAGCTGTCGAAAATTTTTAAAACTAGAATCGTCTCATTTTTGTTCGTATTAAGTGATTAAGTAGAGGTACCAATACTGTTGATTTATATTCACACCAACTACATAGATTTATCCATTTCTAGGCACCGAATTCGGTTGTAAATAAAATAGCTTCTTGAAATAGTGAGGTTTGCAGAGATTGATTTTATAGTTAACCTTCAAACCAGTGGGTCACCATCCAATGGTTTTTAGTTTTAGTTTCAAATAATTAGTACTGGATGAGAAATCTAAAGGTATTGGGTTCAAATCCGAGTGGGTTAGTGAATGTGCACTTCCTAAGAGTCCTATACTAAGACAAAAAAAGCTGTCCAGTACTTCTTATTTCTTAATGGTTGTTTAACTAAGGTCAGTTTTTGATGTAAACTGTAAAAATGGGTTCTTTTAAACGATTAGATCATATTGAAGTAATTCACTAGGTTTCAGATTCTAGTCTATTATTCAGTTATTTCATAAAATTCAGTGAATAACCGTGATTAATGGTGTAAAGCATATTTTACGCATAACCCAGGCGCTTTTTGTCACTAAATACCATTAGCATTCGTCCCGATAGGTATTCAATAATAGTGTGGCAGTATGTTTTTTCATTTATTTCATACATATCAAAATAGTTGGGAATATATAATATAACCATATTCATAAGTTTGTTTTTGATTTCTCAATCTAACTGATATCTTTTTACTGTTCAGAAGCAATTTTTTTTAATTATGTAGGCATCATATAGTCTTCTTACCTAATTGCTCTCGTTGTTTATTGTTACTTTATTGTATATTGTGGTCTGATATTTTAGGCTCATTAATGATAACTTCATTAGATCTATTGACTTTTGTAAGTTAGTAACAACGTGAGGAAGACCCATAAGTCATCATTTGCGTTAATCCTAGTCCGGCATGGGACTGAAACATGTCCTTCACATAAATTATAACTAAATCATCATAATAAATTGCTTGTTTTCTTATTCTAGGATAAAATTTGCATTTCAGTAATGACCCCATTTCTGTCAAATACTGACCTCAATATATTTGTATTGGTATTATTTGCTAGTTGTGAAATAATACGTAACTGGATACACTGTAAACTCTACGTTATGTGCCCAGATTTCAGGCAGGCTGGGTTTCGTTCTGATCGAGGATGTATTAATCATATCTTCACCCTCCGCCAAATGTTAGAACACCGTCATACTTATCAAAGGCCGACAATCGTAGTGTTTCTTGACATCAGGGCTGCCTTCGATTCGTTGGATAGGACTGTTCTCTGGGATTGTCTATTGAAGAAGGGTGTGCCTGAGAAGTTTATTAACATCCTAAAAGCCCTATACAAAAACACCTCAGGCAGAGTGAGGGCATACAACCACCTCTCTCCATTGTTCCATTCGAGCAGTGGGGTTAGGCAGGGTTGCCCAATCTCACCATTCCTCTTCAACTTTGCCATCGATGACATTCTGGAAACAGCTCTGATGAATGTAAGTAATGGTGGTGTGGATCTGTTGCCTGGAGAAAGACTTCTCGACCTTGAGTATGCGGACGATATTGTCTTACTGTGCGATAATGCCCAAGGCATGCAATCCGCACTTAATCAGTTGGCAATCAGTGTCCGTAGGTATGGTATGTGCTTTGCACCTTCGAAGTGCAAAGTACTTCTACAAGACTGGCAGGATTCCAATCCTGTACTCACCCTGGATGGTGAGCAGATAGACGTAGTCGAGAAGTTCGTGTATCTGGGTAGCTGCATAAGTGCTGGTGGGGGTGTGAGTGATGAGATCAATGCACGTATAGTGAAAGCCAGAGCGGCTTATGCCAATCTGGGCCACCTTTGGCGCCTTCGTGATGTTAGTCTGGCTGTAAAAGGTCGGATCTACAACGCGTCGGTGAGAGCAGTTTTGCTCTATGCTTGTGAAACCTGGCCTCTCCGAGTTGAGGACGTTAGACGACTCTCTGTGTTCGATCATCGCTGTCTCCGAAGGATTGCTGACATTCAGTGGCAACACCATGTCAGTAATGCAGAGGTTCGGCATCGTGTGTTCGGGCACAGAGATGATAATTCAATTGGTGTCACCATCTTGAAACACCGACTTCGGTGGCTTGGACATGTTCTCCGAATGTCGTCCCAGAGAATTCCACGTCGTGCATTATTTGCCGACTCTGGGACTGGTTGGAAGAAGCGGAGAGGTGGTCAACGTATGACATGGTGTTGTGGTATGAAAGGCTTCAGAGGGCTGGCTTGTGTTGGTCCTTCTCGACTCCCTGGCTGGGGTTCGAGAGATGGTGCTACACAGTGGCTAGAGACGTTATCAGATATGGCTGGGAATAAAAGTTAGTTGCGATCCTGCTGTAATGTTCTTTTTCTTTCTTCGTAAAAGTGGTTGTTTGTTCCTTAACTGGAAGAATCCTTCTGGTTGTACCTTTCCGTTTTTCCCAGTATTATTATTATTACTATTATAATAATAATAATAATTATTATTATTATTATTATTATTATCATTATTATTATTGTTACACTACCTTACACTAATCTGGTCGTTATTGTTCTATTTTTACACTTTTTACCTTCTTTTTTCTCTCTTCCTATTTTCATTGTTTTGTGTGGTGCATATATATTTGGTGCCTTCTTGTACCAATATTTATGTGTTCAAATAAATAAATATAATAATTATTCTTATCTGCCTATCAAGTATCTATCATGGTTTTTACCTTTTGACTTTTTCAGATATTATTCTAATAAATTTTCTGATTGGGAAAAACAGTGTGCAATAAGTTTATTTTTACGCATTTATCGTCCTAATTTATGGTCTGGTACACTATATGATTTCATAAAAAATCATCTAATTCCAAGGTATTCAGTAGATGAGACTGATACATTCAAATCAGACATACCAACTCTCTTTCATTCAGACACAGATCAAATTCTAGCCAGTGTCGCTGCTTCATTGTCTGGTTGTATCTGGGATATGTGTAGTGATGCTTATTTACATTGGTTGGACGCTTGGGCACGTTTACCAACAAGTCGCTCTTCACTAACTGATTGGTGCTCTCGTGATCTCTTACAATGTTTACCCAGAGCAATGGATATAACACAAAAGTCAGTTCTTTATAATGGTCGGTGCCTTGTGTTACCATCAAATGATATCAGGTGAGTGCTGTTTGAAGCGGTAAAATGAAATTTATTGTTTGAAATTAGTTTTTCAAAAAATTTTGGGAATCCATAAATCGTTGGATAATCAATCCTCCCTAGTTTAGGATATCCTAAAAGTACTTACTTTTCGTTGGTCCTTAACCCAATGAATCTTTACAGGGTTCCCTAATATCAGTTTAAACCATATAAATAAATTGATCACATTGAATAATAACCCTTAGAAAGTACAGTTTTCTATACGTCTGGAGAGTTTCGGTTCCTAGTGCCAAACTATTTCTCTAAAACGAGTATTCGCTAGCCCACTTATATATAAGAAATGAAGTGGTTAAGTGCCCAAACCACTTTATTTACATGTCGTGCTCTCTCCTCTTCGCTAGCAATCATTCCAACTAGTATATTTTAACCATAAATTTAATAGGGATAAGGTTGAATTATGGGTGGGGTCACGGTATCAAACTCGCTTTGATGATTAAGACTGATGTAATGCATACTATTCTACCTATCTTGACATCCTATTTCGTTTGCAGTAAGAGTATGTGAAGTCAGTAACTGAAATATTTGCAAATATATAGCCATCCTAGTAGGGATTATGTGTTTGCATTTTTACTTCGTAATTCTATACATTATTCATTTTCGACTAAAAAATTTCATTTATTTGTTTCATTTGGGCTGTTATGAATAGTGGTAAGTTTAAGTATTTCAACGTTGTGTCTGATCATTAAGATCAAATTCGTATGCCTAATATGTTGTAACAAATGCTAGCTTATCCAATTGATCTCAAAGATCTACTGTGTTTAATGTGTAAGCTGAATCAAAGCAAAACGTACACATGATTTTGACTAAGACCTGAACAATATAAAAACTTGTTTACTCCCCCCTTTGTTTGCCAAATAATATTCAGCAAGTAGGAGTAATGTTTTTCAAAAATCCACTGTAATTCAAATGTCTTTTATTTTTTCATCTTATAGAGTTGATTGGTTCAATGAATTTTATGATTTAACATCTTATGTCGATTTGGATCGTTTCTCAAATCCCCATATCCGGTCAACTGAACTTGTTGTTGAACATCATTTAGGTGATTATATGATTCCGAAGTCATATCCAAGTAAATACTTCGTCTTTTCTCTCTCTATTTCTATTACCGTAAATGCCATATTAAGTATTTTATACTCTTCTTGGTAAGAGTTTGAATTGTCCTGTTGTCCGTTGCTAGACACAGTCCATCCATTCTAGAAAAAACTTGTGACAATATAGCCATATCGAGGCAATACTCACCTATTGTCAACTAAGACTGGTCAGCAATGGGATAATTAAAACTCCTACAAGTACTGATCTGTTAATCATACACGTTGAAAAAACAGGATATTTGAACTTATTTATTTATTTATTTATTTATTTATTATTATTATTATTATTATTATTATTATTATTATTATTATTATTATTAATGGCTTTATTGAACATTATATTTTGGTAAAATATAGAGTTCTCAGCAAAAGTATTTCAACAAATTTCCTTTTCTTATTTCTTGATCGATTCTGACATTAAATATTAGTAGCTCAGTGGATGACACGTTAGCTTTTGGAGTAAATAGTACTGGATTCGATTCTCGACAACATCAACATTAGAATCCAGGTTCATCAGTTTGATTAACACCAATAGGACTGAATATACGTCATGGATTCCACTGTTAACCACAAACCGTCTATTTTAAAAATGTTTTATAGCTTATAATATGTACATGTTTTAACAGCTTCATTGATCATTGTTAGATATACTATGCGAAACAAATTCACTTGATTATTCATTTAACAGAGATGACTTTCTTTACACCTCACATTCCAGGTAAAGTACCATTGAAGGCTAGTAAGCATTAGATAATTTATCCAGTTTAGGGAAACCTATGTGTGTGTGTCAGTAAATATGTAACGGTTTACTTTTAATTCAGTTTTGTAAAAACGACTGTTCTCAATGAGTTTTTCAGTGTAGCGCTTAGTTTTTATGTGCGACATATGACGCACACAGAATAGTGCAGTCTTCCATATTATCAAATCTAACTCATTTGCAAAGTATGGCTTTGTGTAATCCACTTCCTGCAACGTCGTCTGTGTGAGGGTCGGTACTACTAGCCGGTTACCCGGAGCAGAAATAGATAAAATGATATTTGAACCTGTAACTTGTCTTAATTTACTGGTAAGAGTTTTAAGGGAAGGGCATCGGTTTTTAGTCCTGGAGTGGACGTCAATATTGAGATCCAGCTGACTAGTCCTACGTACGATGAAACGTGCGTCCCGGATTCTAATACTAACCACCACCAATCTCTGCCTACAAGTGTCTGCAACCTATTGGTCGAAAACCGAATTCTCAACCCACTACTAGTCCATCACTCCATTATTTATTTTCTTAAAGATACAAAGAGCATGCTATACATACTTAAATCGTGGTTGAATTCGCTTTTATTTTACTCATATTTCTTGTGTGGCACCTTACTCCTATGAGTTATCATAGTTATTTTCGTAACAGTAGATCGATTAGCGTTGTTTTGAACAATTTATAGTCATATGAGTGTTCATAGTGCTGTTACATTCATGGATTATGGTAAGATTTCGCAACCCTGACTTCAATATGGCTAACGAGACTACTTTTATCCTCTTTTTTCCTGTCTCACAAATAAATGTCAATTACTAAAGATTAGAATTGCTGAACTGAGTATTTGTCGCTATACAAAAATCATAGTAAAAATATTTTGAAGGTTCATAAGTAGAGTCTATATTGAATAATTCAACGTAACAGCAATTCATCTTAATCGATATTGATTTTCTTTCTCATAAATTGTATTTAGGGATTGGACGCCCCCACATGCCCTGGTACGACCGAGAGCGGGAAAAGTTAGCTTTCCCTCTCGAAATGCTCTCACACGGCCACACGTATACAGTCGTTGCCAGGGAAGTCCTACTCATTGCCCTCTCACGGCGGAGTGTTGTTTACGAAATTGTGAAAGAAAAGCGAATGTCCGGCGCTTTAACCGGGTCGGTGGGTATGGAGGATGCAACTAGGGGAGTTGAAAAAACCTCATTCCAAACCAATGGTGCATACAGGCTCCAATATCCTGAAGTAACAAATGGCGTATGAACCAATCGTTGGTCACTGGCTAGCGTGGGATTGCATCTCCTTACGATGCTCCACTGCCTTAAGGATCAAACCTTTAGGTCGAAGGTTCTGGGTGTGGCCTCTTGAGAAACTCACCTGCTTTTCTTTGGGCATCGGGTGGTATCACAGTCCACACACAAATCAAATCAGATTTGTGTGGCGCATATATATTTGGTGCCTCGTTGTATCAATATTTATGTGTTCAAATGAATAATATAAATAAAAACGTCACCACCAAGCCCTTTAGGTTATTTTTCATAGTATCGCATTTTACTACCCACTTCGAGAGTAAGGTAATTACTCCCTGATAATGTTAAATGATGGTAAACCTATGTCACAGTTTAACTGAAGTTGTTCATTTGGATAATCTGATATCATTTCATTATTTCGATGTTACTCCTTTATCGTGGAGACCCTCTAGGCTCATTTTCAAGATAGTATAGGCTTATTGCTGCTCCTCGATAAGGGGTTCCCACGCTTTTTCAGCTAATATCAGCCCGTGACGAAAATTACCTTTAAAATGTTTGAGTAATGTAATAGAGCCGACGAAAATAGGACTCAGAACATAATTGGCTGTTTTGGTCTTTAAAGGCCCTCGACTCTCTCTCTCTCTCTACCTTTCTGTGGTTATTGTGTTAAATGAGTTACACTAAACAGTATTATGAGATATTTAAATTGTTACTTTAATTTATTTTTAATACAACATCTCTATTATCTTTTTTAATTCAAAAACATAAATATACTCATTTTTCTCAACTTTTTTATTTCAAGATTTAAAGACCAATGAACAATTACATTCGCAACATAGCAACAATAATAATATAAAATACACGTCTGTTCCTGAAAAAGATCAACTTACTAACTGCAGTTATCCTACATTATCAAATATTTACATGGATTTAGGTCGTTCAATATGTGCTGCACATTCATTTCCTAATTTTACTGACATACCACATTTCGATTGGTCTACTAAACAAAATCTTTCGTCTAAATATTATAAAGATGGCAACAATTCAAATGAAGCATTGAATCATTCAATTAGTAATGTTGAATTAAACAAAACAAAAAAGTTTAAAAAAGCAAAAGACAAATGTCCAGTAAATAATAATTTCGATGATGAAAAAGACAAAAAACAACAAGAAAAATCTGCTGTTGCTGAGGATGATGGTGATAATGATGAAGATAAATCTAGTTCAGATAGGTACCATGAATGCTACTACTCACATTTATTTGTTGGTATAATTTCTTTACACTCTATAATTAATGTTCTGGTGTTGAAATGATCCTATTTAGTCACTCGTAATGTTCTTGGCTATGACTTTGTAGTCTGCTACAGGTACAAAAGTGTAACTAAAAGCTAAGTATATGAGACCTTGCGTAGCTATCCTGTTGTATTTTTTAAAATCGAATCTTGTGATATTATAAAACAGGCGTTAATAAATGAACATTTAACTGTTAAAATGAAAGGAAAGAATGCAAAATTAGATCATATCTAATAAAATAATGTGGCTGATTTTTTTTTCTCACCAAACCAAATTATTGGCATAACCCCCAGCCTACCCCATAGCTGAACTGATATCAGAAGACAAATTAGGTGTCCAGTTTTTTTTATGTAATAAAATAACATACGTGTATATATAACATAATGACAAAACAATAGACATAATCGAATGTCTTAGGTGACAGAACTCAATCATTTTATGCATCATTTTCTTTCTAGTCAATTCAGACACCTTTTTTTAATTTTTTTTGTATTTGTTACTGTTTTTTTGTTGTTGCGTAAGTAACTTGTTGAAATAATCTGTGCTGAAAATTCTATATTGTACCAAAATATAATATTGAATAAAGCCATTAATAATGATAATAATAATAATTTATTTTTAAAAAAGTAATCTCACCAGTTAGTTTCAATCTCAAATTTTCTGATTGTAATTTGTGGAACTTTTCTTGCTGTTTTCTAAGAATATTATGATCACTATCTACTTTAAAGTTTGAATTATTGATACAATTACAAGGCATCTAATTGGTTTGATTACCCGATACCTCTTCCATTTTTAGTAGTGTTAATTAATGAAATATCTGTTAATAAGTATTTCTAATTTATAATAATTGTATGAGATTTTCTTATGTGATAGAGCGAGTGTAATAAATAATACATCACGATCAAGGTCACTAACTAGCTTCATGAAATCTAAATATCACATCAGGCTGTAAATAGAGAATGTAAAAAAAATCTACTTATTTACTTTTCAATCAGTTGAGTATACTTGTGTGTACAGTTTTTCCTCAGTTTTCTCCTCTTTTACTCATAGGTCCTAGTTTCCGAATTCTGGATAAGACAGTTTGATGTTAGTTACTACTTACTGATTGATTAATGCAGATAATTAAATAGACAAATAGATATAATATAGAACTCTGTGAAAATATCCACTTGCCATTGAAACAACACACTTCATATGTCAGTATAACTAGAAAAAATTTACAAGATGAACAATAAATGTGTCGAAACAATGGCAATATCATTGATAGCGAAAAAACGAAGGATAGTTTAAAAAGAACGAACAAAATTTCTGAAAGAAAAACAAACCAATGAAATGTCTAATATTTAAGTCTAATATATTCTTGTTCAATCCTAGTTAGCCTTCAATTTTAACAATGATTCAATGTGAGCATAATTATAACTGCACAAAACAATTGTTCATTTCTCCATAAATTTCAATAAACGTTTTGTTATTTGATACTAAGTGAGCGTAGTATACAATTTGGAAATGTGCTAACACCTTTACCGTTTATGAATTTGAATTAAAATCACACGATTTATAATGAATTGAGTTATTTAGTTATTCTTCATTGTACGAGTGAGAATAATTAAGAGATACACTTTTTTAAGCTGTTATATACGGTCATTTTTAATTAATTAGTTATAGTTTTTTTACTCTTCCCAACATGTAAAGTTGAATGGTGTACTAATAACTGTGGAATATAAATTAAAAGTTGTATTATTACATCACTAATATTGACGTAACACATTTATTAAGTACACTTTTAGGTATTTGGCTTTGGACTACACTTTATATGTAAAGGTAATAGATAGCGCTTGAATTAGAAATCAACATTTTAAGTGATTGATCACTAATGCGAAAATTCTTGTAATCTATATTTTGATTTTATACTACTACGTAGTTGGAATGACTTGATTAAGCCATTAGACACAATTTATTTAATCACTTGTTCATCTTAATTTTAGGTTACCTAAAGTTATATATAGAAAGAGTAGTATTTTAGATAAATGCTAATTTAGGTTTTATCTTCTGATGTCTTACAGATCAGTAAAATACAGAATTCTCGGGTTAGACATTACATGTTATCGTTCCACCTATTTCCGTACATATATGTTCCTGTTATCGTATGAATCCCCTCAGTTATATCAAGGAACAAAAATAACTCCGCACTGATCAAAATAGAATAGGTTAGACAGAATCCGAACCTTCTATTAAATGGTTAGTACTTCAATATTTCAACCAATAGCGCACTATGTGTATTCACAATATGACTAACTAATTGTAAATGACTATTGCATAGCATGAAGTTTTACATTATCATTTTTTTCTTTTTTTAGCGATTATGAAGAGTCGATAGATAATTGTATTAATTTCTTTCCGCCCGATTTGAATCTGTTTCAATTGCTTCTTGATCCAGACTTATCAGTAATACAATCTAAACGTCTACCTGACAAATATTTTGATAATAAAGGATATTCTGTAAGTTACCCGTATACTTCAAACTCTACAAAACGTCAAAAGCGAAAACAAACAATAGTTGGCCAACTTGTTAAATCCAAAGAAGATCCTGAATCCACCTATTCAAATTGTGTATCGTCATCTGAGATCGTGTTAAATTTACCAAATAAACATGTCTATGAAGGTATATAAATGATATTATTGTTCTGTTTATTCTTAGCAGTGAAATAGTACAACCTATTCACGAGTTCGTCATTAGTTTCTATTTAAAGCCTTATTGTGATGTTGGCTGAGTTTAATTTAAAACGAAACGACACGGTAGCATTTTTATCACAAGACATTTGCCGCCAACCATTATAAAGTTTTGGATTGATGCTTTGTTTTCCGGGTAATTATTCATCAGTAAAACTAATGTTCAACCTCATAGAGACCCTTCTTGATTCGGTATTTTAATTGTATATCTACTGGTGCTCTTCACACTACGTTATTCAACCCAACAATGCATATGTACTAAAGAGAGAAACAGAATGTGTAAATATTTCTTCTCAATTATTTTTTTCATCATGGCTCTACCTTGATATATATATTTCATCTACAACGGTAAAAATTGTTTAGTCTGGGGATTCCTACAAATGATTGCTTTGATTATTTACGGTATCATATCAATTATCTAATTAATCACTCAATGTTATTGTCGTAATCAGTTGTGAAATTGTATTATCATTATGTAACACTATAATGGACGAGACTCAGGTGAGGACAACCGGCTTATTATTTAGTACAAAATACAGAATATCTTGGTAAAGAGAACCATACACTGAATACTTCATTGGCAAATTTGCATCCTTTGTCTTTCATATTCTGTATAATTCTTCCGATTCACAATTCCTTTCTGTTATCTTCAGCTTGATCTTCTTAGTCTTCTGCTGTTAGGTTTTCCAATCCCGCTTGGTGTTGCATACTACTTATGTTTATCAACATAAGTAGCATACAACATAACACTACTACTCGGTTGGTATTGTTTTATTACTGTTTATTATATTTATGCATATAGATAAGTGTAGATCCATGATGATAAGCTGATTGGAAGTAAACATTTGTTTGCTCTATTGGCTAACTTCACACTTAATATCCAAGAGTGTATAACGGAAAAACTAGATATGCTAAACTTGAATAGTGTGTTTGTACTTCAGTATATTAATTTAGACCTTATAATAACTTATTACACTATTCGAGTATGATTCCTGTTGATGTGTGTCTGTACACTATAATTAAAGTTATTGCTTTCTTCTTTTAACTGAAAATATGGTAATAATATTCACTAAAAAAGAAAAAGCAAACATTGATTACAATCAATCATTTATGGTGAAAATTTGAAAAGAATAAAAATTCGTGTATCAAATGGTTATATACTACTTACTTGTTACTCCTCATGGAGGAGCGTAGGCCGCCCACCAACACTCTCCATCCAACCGTATCCTAGGCAAGTTGTTTACTACGTCAAGTGTAATATCTATTATTATTTGCCAACAATTAATAATAGTAACTCAACTTTTCTACCGTTATATTATGGTGTGGGTTACTTATATCCACATAATTAATATATAACGGTGGTCAGGCGTAGAATGTATTTCAGTAGAAGATCGATAAGGAAGGAATGGAAACGGAACGCAATTGGTATGAAAATGCATGAACAATTAAATCTGAGACAATGAACCGATATTTGCAAACGAAACAGTCAAGTTTGAGATGATGGATTGATATTTTGCAAATTAACTATGTAAAACAATTGTATGAACGAAGAATATTCTTTTCAATTTTTATGAATTGCAATGATGTTTTCGTTTCTGTGAACCTTGCGTTATGCATCAGGAACTCATTGAATGCCTTTAACGCAATGGGTTGATCACAAGATTTTAATCGCTGAAAAATTCCCATTGCGTTGAAGGCATTCAATGAGTTCCTGAAGTATAATGCAAAGTTCACAGAAACGAAAACATCATTGGAATTTATAAAAATTGAAAAGAATATTCTTCGTTCATACAATTGTGTTTTAATCTAATGGGAATTTTTCAGCAACTAACTATTTACTATATGGTTCTCAGATTTTATTGAGATGCTCTGTGATTTCGTGACGAAATACATTCGATTGTCTCTTACTCGTGTTCTTGTTCACTACAATATCAGTAGTTCTTTTTCTTTTCAAAGTTTTTTTCTATTCGTTTCATTACATAAATAATGAGGAAAGACAAATGATTAATTTTATTTCACTAATATTAAGAAAAAAATGAAAACATTAAAATTGTAATCTGACATTTATTATCCTACAATAAAATTGTGACGACGGACCACGGGTGAACTCGAGGAAGCTGTAGGAGGCTCAGAAGGAGCCGAAGATATTCCATCCAATCACCCTTTAGAAGAATGTCTTAGAATTCATACGCGTAGCTTCCCGATTGGACAATGCTAACAACCCCCTGTATGCTGATTAGTGGACTGTAATGATGATTTTGTTCTTACTAAAAACTATAAATACCTGACAATTTTGTACTATAATTGACACTGTCTGGGAGTACTATTCCTTTCATTATTCTTCTGTCTTCTTATTGCGACTAGGAAGGGTTCTGGCGTCCTAGTGCTCACGTTATACGCGTTATATCAAGAACAACCTTCTAGATATAACAAAAATGAAGTCATTTTAAGAAAAAACTTACATAGTTTAATACAAATTAGGTTTAACAATTTTACTAACCACATAAACTAGTTAAATGGTTAGTAAAATTGACCATTAAACTTTAAACTTGTTTTTAAGCTTGACTCTATTCATGTACATACAATCTATGTGTATGAAACATTAATATTCTATACCTTTTTTATTTAAATAATGTAGATATAATATAGTTTAAACAACGTTTTCTTAAACATTTCATTTTAAACAAACAATAAAGCCATTGGTAGATGTTAATGGTATAATTTAATTTGTAATTGTAGTATAATGGATAAATTGTATTATTTTTGTGTTTATGAAATATGATTAACTAACTATATTCAATTAATCTCTACTCTTTTGTTTTCCAATTATATTGTGTTTCCATACAGATTATCTTCGTACAGATTTTACTAAGCATCCAATTCAAATTGATAATTATTACATAAATAAATTTGCTAGTCTCAATACTTTATCATCATCGTCTTCGTTGCCTATAGATAAAACTTCAATTGATATTTATAATGTAAGTTGCTATCTGTTTTTTAGCTATTCACATTTATTGTATTAAATTTTAACAGGTTACTTGTTATGTTTGATCTTTTTTATTTAATGTTCTCTACATATCCCCCCGCCTGATTCATGTCTTGTACACATTATACTATACTGGGTAATTTTAATTTATATCTTATTGTATTAAAAAATTACAGTAATTTTGATAATGTTTTACTCAAGTGATTATCTTTGTTTTATAGTACATTTGTTTTTCTTTTCTGATGAATAAGATCATTTTTGCCAGTTGACAAGAATCGAAAAGAATATATATATATATATATATATATATATATATATATATATATATATATATATATATATATATATATGTTTACTAAAACCCGATCTTATGACTCAATTTGTTGTGTTATTCAATTGTTTTGTTCTTTTCTGAATCATCTGCATAGTTAATAGTTATTAATGTAGAGCTTTTTTCCCAAGTCACAACTTGGTATTGGTATAGGGAAAATGTTTGTTAGCTATTCAGTTGACTTTGTTTTAATTTATAGATTTCTTTGAATTGCATTAAAGCTATGACGCGATCCAAGATAGGTCGCCATTGAGAACCTAGAAGAACTGGGTGGCTGTACTGTCATAGTACGGGAATCCTAATCACTGCGCATTTACGACTCCTCACGCTGGAAACGAACCCGAACATTCGGTCTCTCGCGTGAACGCTTAACTTGTAGAACATTGAGCCTCCATTCAACAGTGCTAATATTTAACCTCAACTAATCCATGATATTTCTCAACCATATTCCATTGTCTTCGATGGGTAACTGCCTCACACCCGACACGGATTGGTTTTACGAATCATGGCTTTTCAATAAAACTCCAAAACTTTCCTCTTAAAACTGGTCACTAATGACCACATGATAACTTTCAGTGTGGGGTTAAAGATTTCTTTTAACCACCACTGTCAGAGAGGTATTTAATCATGTTAGTTAACAGTTAATTATCATATTGTTATAACTTGTGAAGGTCAAGGTTCTTTGACTACTTATTACTTAGTTTCTGAACTTTCACTATACGTTTAGACAATCACCTAGAGTGGAATGATAAAAGAATATATGGGTTTAATCGTTTATCCTACTATTCAATTACTCAACTGTATACTTATTCAAGATTATCATTAAAGTGTAAAAATAAAACTTATAGTTTCCGAGAAAATGTCATAACTTGTAACCTGTGTGCCCTGTTAATGGATAACGTAACGATACCACCAATCAGAGAGCAGCGAGTTATCGATCGGACCAGTGACACCATAAACACGTGCGAGTAGCCTAGAGTCCTGATTGGTATCGCTTCCTGTCTAGCCCAGCTAGTTGAGTCCAGAACACCAATCTCAGCCTCTGCAATATGAATCATTTATTTCAAGCATACTGGGCTTATATATCAACCAGACAGACCACATCGTACCATAAAATGTGAAACAACATTGTACAAAAATTAGCCAAATGTGGCTGTGAATGAGGGAGATAGTAATTAATAGACAGGCTATAACTCAAGAATGGTAAATCTTATAATAATAATTCATAGGTCAAAATAAAACTCATAATAAGAGGGACATGAATGTGTGAACAGTTTAGTTACATAACAATTATACGATAAAAATATACTCATAGCATTGGTCCATCAATAGATCCGAAAAATTACCATTCATTATTCTTATCAGGATATAACACATATCATCCTTTAATCCTCTTTATATTAATCTATTTTACATTTAGAATTATGTTCAAATGAATAATATTGGCTTGTGTAATATATCCAAAAACAGTATGAATATCTATAAGGCAACAGCTTATCTGACATCACAGTTATTATATTAATACAGAAGTAAAAGACGGATATTTTTCAATGCAACTTATTTTAATTCTCTTACAGTATCAAATGTTTAATATTTTAAATCATCACTTTACGAATTACTAATTTTTCGTCTACATTTTCTGTAAATATATAGAATCAAGCAGTGTTTTATTTTTGTACTTCACTTTATTATTTACTTATGCATAATTATACATGATGTGTTGATTTGACTTTGTTTTATTCTTCTACTCTTACCATCAATACTGCTGATAATAATGCTCAGTCATTGATAGGTTATTGATTTCTATTGTGAAATGTGGTCACAATTACCTTAATCAATTACTTGAAGATCTCGAGTTAAACGTCTGAAGATAGATTATAGCGATGGAGATGTGTTCATTCTTAATCTCTCTCTCTCTCTCTCTCTTGAGTTAAATGCAATAATGTGCCTTACTTAATATTCATTCATCTTAGAATGGGAATACTTGAACTAGTACATATTTGTGTCCAATCTTTTATTGTTTATGACAAACTGAATTGATTTGCTAAATGATAACGATTTATTTTCAAGTAAATTAAAACAATTAAAATAATTTTATGCATAATAAAACAATTTCTATTTCCATTTACCTCTTTTGTCATGTTTTCCATGATTTCTTTTTCTATGAGGTGTAATGATACTTACAATATCGGTTAAAAATTCATCATTCGAAATTAGTAAACAGTTATTATTTGAAAGTAAATAGTTGTAATTAGTGGTATAAGACCTTCAGACAGTGCTGTAATGATAAAGTACTTTCTGGGGTACCTAGCCTGTCGTATGCCCTGATGGTGTTCTCGTAACTTTCGGGTTGTCTGATCTGCCAAGAGCGATGGGACAGTGCATGATGTTATTGTTGTGTGCTAGGTTCAAAGAGAATTGTTTGCTATATGTATGCAAATCCGCCCCGTTATTGTTCCTATTAGCCCCCAGATGCCCTCGTACGGCCGATAGTGGAGAGAGTCCGTTCTCCCTCTCGAAATGCTCCCACATGGCCACGCGTATGTAGCCTATGCCAGGGAAGTCCTACTCACTGCCTTCTCGTTGCATTACTGTTGTTTACGAAATTGAGAGGACGAAAATCGAATGTCCGGCGCTTTAACCGTGTTGGTGGACATGGAGAACCCACCCACGGGAGTTGGAAAACCCTGATTCCAAACCAATGGTGCACATGGGCTCCAGTATCCTGAAGGAACAAATGGCGTATGAACCGATCGTTGGTCACCGGCTACCATGGGATTGCATCTCCTTACGATGCTCCACTGCCTCGTGGATCAAACCGAAGGCTCCGGGTGTGGCCCCCTCAGAAAACCACCTGCTTCGGTTTGGGCACCCGGGCAGTATCACAGCCTTCACAAATAGAATGATTTATGT